CTCCGGGGCGTCGGGGACGGAGATGGAAAAAATAAATAAATAAATTCACGGCGGTGAGGGAAGTGAAGGAAAATAATCAATGCTATTTGGCTGCGGCTGAAGTGTTTCCCCGGCTTCGTGAGGGGGTTTCCATTGATTCACCCTGGGCACTCGCTCGCTCCCTGCCTCCTCCTCCTCCTCCTCCTCCTCCTCCTCCTTCTCCTCCTCCTCCTCGCCCTCCTCCTCCTCCTCGCCCTCACTCCTCCGCCTCATTCACTGGCTGGAGTCGAGGCGTCCCACACAATGGAATAATCAATACCCAGGCGCCCGGGGCGGCCCCACTGAGCAGGTGCAGCGACCCGCCCGCCGCGGCGCATGCCGGGAGTTGTAGTCTGTTCGCGCCCGCCCGCCTCGCGGGACCCAGGGCCTGGGGGCAGGCCGGCCAGCCCACCAGGTCGCCTCCTCGACTCTGGCTCCAAGTTCAAGCCGGTGCTTGCAAAGAGGGCAGGCCCCTTTAAACTCTTTTCCGTCTCCTCTCTTCTTCATCCTGTGGTCTGCAGAAACCATACATGTGTTTTGTTGTTTTGTTTTAAATCAGCTACAGAACAAACCCTGAGCCGCCCAAGGCCTCCTTTTTTTCATTCCCTTCTTCCTGCCTTATTATTCCCCCCCTCTCCTATTGGGTACTAGAACCTTTTCTACCGCAGCAATTACTCTTTAGTCTCTGAGAGCTTCTGCCTCCTCCACGCGGTTACATAGTCCCCTGAGCTGGGTAGTGGGAGGTTCGGGCTCCTCCTCCTCATCTTCAGTTTATCAGCTCATTAAGTGTTCCTGCAATTTTTTTTTATTTTTTATTTTTTTGTTGTTGTTGAGATGGAGTCTCGCTCAGTCGCCCAGGTTGGAGGGCAGTGGCGTGATCTCGGCTCACTGCAACCTCCACCACTGGGTTCAAGCGATTCTCCTGCCTCAGCCTCCTAAGTAGCTGGGATTACAGGCAAGCACCACCACACCCAGCTAATTTTTGTATTTTTAGTAGAGACGGGGTTTCACCATGTTGGTCAGGCTGGTCTCCAACTCCTGACCTTGTGATCCGCCTGCCTCGGCCTCCCAAAGTGCTGGGATTACAGGTATGAGCCACCGCTGCGTCCAGCCCATTTTTTGTTGTTGTTTTTTGAGACAGAGTCACTCTGTCGCCCAGGCTGCAGTGCAGTGGCATGATCCCAGCTCACTGCAACCTTCGCCTCCCAGGTTCAAGTGATTCTCCTGCCTCAGCCTCCCAAGTAGCTGGGATTATATAGGTGCCCGTCACCATGCCCTGCTAATTTTGTATTTTTAGTAGAGATGGGGGTTTCACCATCTTAGCCAGGCTGGTCTGGAACTCCTGACCTCAGGTGATCCACCAGCCTCAGCCTCCCAAAGTGCTGGGATTATAGGCGTGAGCCACCTCGCCCGGCCGCTCCCGTATTCTAATAACAATAATTTCTAAGATTTCTTGAATGCACAGGGACAGTTTCAAGCACTTTTACATATATTGTCTAGTCCTCTCAATCTCAATAGTATCAATATAATAGATACTATTATAGTCCCATTTTACAGTTGAGGAAACTAAGGCACAAATAAGTGAATTAACAGGCCCAAGGTCCAATGGCCAATAAGTAAGTGACAGCACCAGGATTCAAAAACCTCCATGGTCTGGGTCCAGAGCCCACACTAACTGCTATAGCCTACTTCTCTTAAACAACACAACAAAACCCTGAAGTTCACATGACAAAAAAGAGAAAGAAATGAACATTTTGAGTTTATACTATGTAACAGTTTATGACTGAATCCTCATAGGTAACTGTGGGGCAGACCACATTTTCTCAACGAAAAAGCAGAGGCTGGCTGGGTGTGGTGGCTCACGCCTGTAATCCCAGCACTTTGGGAGGCCAAGGTGGGTGGATCACCTGAGGTCAGGAGTTCAAGACCAGCCTGACCAACATGGAGAAACCCTGTCTCTACTAAAAATACAAAATTATCTGGGCGTGGTGGCATGCACCTGTAATCCCAGCTATTTGGGAGGCTGACATAGAATAATTCCTTGAACCCGAGAGGCAGAGGTTGCGGTGAACCAAGATCACACCATTGCACTCCAGCCTGGGCAACAAGAGTGAAACTCCATCTCAAAAACAAAAACAAACAAATAAAAAACAAAAATCAGGCAGGTGTGGTGGCATGTGCCTGTAGTCCCAACTACTCAGGAGGCTGAGGCAGGAGAATCACTTGAACCTGGGAGGCAGAGGTTGCAGTGAGCTGAGATGCCACAGTGAGACTCAGTCTCAAAAAAAAAAAAAAAAAGAAAAAGCAGATGCTTAGGGAAGTAGAGTAGCTTGCCGATGGCCAAACATCTAGAAAGTGAAGCTGGGAGTCAACCCCAGGTCTGGCTCCGGAAACTGATCTTTCTGTTCAAATAAGCTGCAGCTTTTACCCCACTGGATTGGACCTTATAACACAAGGAAAAATTAGGTCTTCATCCCAGGTTAGCAAAACTGGAAAGCAAAAGATGGATGAAAAGCAGGCCCTAGGAGCTGGGGTTGCTTCCCTCCCTAACGAATGGTGCTTAACATGGAGTGGGGCCAGGGGTTCACCCAAGCTATCCCAAGTTCAAGATGCCATTTGTTTATTTATTTTTACACAGGGTCTTGCTCTGTTGCCGAGTACAGGCAGTAGTAGGATCATAGCTCACTGCCCTTGACCTCCTGGGCTGAAGCTATCCCCCTGCTTCAACCTCCTGAGCAGCTGGGACCACAGGCATGCACTACCACACACAGCTAACTAAAAAAAAAAATTTTTTTTTTTTTTTAGAAACAGGGTCTTGCTATGTTGCCCAGGCTGGTCTCAAACTCCTGGCCTCAAGTGATCCTCCTGCCTCCACCTCCCAAAGCGGTAGGATTACAGGTGTGAGCCAACGCACTTGGCCAAAATGCCATGTCTTTAAACCAGTGTCCTTCTCCTTATAATACCTCTCACTGGTCATGTGTTTCCAAAAACATACTGGGGAGAGGGCAGGTGTTGAGAACATGGCACTTCTCACCCATCATAGGAAGGAGTCCAGGAGTTAAGAGCCACAGTTCCTCAGGGAGCTTCCTCACATGGAAGGTCAGACATATAATTAGAGTCTCCAGATAACCATAATCCTCAGAGGGAGTAAGAAGGAATCATTTCTATTAATATTTTGTCTCCCAAAGCATTCAAAGGGTCAACCCCATGTTTTCCTGAATTTTATTTTTTGGGGGAGAGATGGAGTCTCATTCTGTCGCCCAGGCTGGAGTGCAGTGGCGCCATCTCAGCTCACTGCAACCTGTGCCTCCCTGGTTCAAGCAATTCTCATGCCTCAGCCTCTGGAGTAGCTGGGAACACAGGCATGCGCCACCATGCCTGGCTCATTTTTGCATTTCTAGTAGAGACGGGGGTTTCTCCATGTTGGCCAGGCTGGTCTCGAACTCCTTACCTCAGGTGATTCACCGGCCTCGGCTTCCCAAAGTGCTGGGATTGCAGGTGTGAGCAACTGCACCGGCCTTTCTGTATTCTAAATGAACATAAGTAGTTCCACACCTGACAAAAACTGCTTAGGGACCTCTGGAAACTGACACAAACTCCTCAGTCTAGCACTCAAGGCTTTTTCTTCAACTGCATTTCTAGCCTCGTCTTCTACTTACATACCACCCAGGTGCTCTCCAGTTTCTGGGCCTTTGCTTAGGCTAATCCTGCCTCCATCCAGGTCTCCAACTGTTGAAATTCCATCATATCTTTAGTTCCTGGCCAAATATCACTTTATTCTCTGACAGAAAGTTTCTCACCCACTCCTACCCTGAACGTTCATGCCAGGAGGTATTAGATCTCCTCTAAAACTCCAGAGTAGCTAAACTGGACTTTATTACGCGCTGCCCCCTGCTCCCTTCCCTCCCCCAATCCCCCGCCACCCGCCACCCGCCACCATTGCCACTGGCCTGCACTTAACTGGCTGCTATAGCAGATATCTGCTGGACAGTGTGAATGGCTTGTATTCCAGGCCCATCTGCCTGCGCTGGGGGTGGGGCGGGTGGGTGTTGGAGATGGGACTGGGGCTTGAGCCCCTTGCACTCAACTGTCCCCGCCGCCCTGTAGCCCCAGTTCAGCTTTAGGCAGAGTACCGCAAGCACCAATTGCAGCTTTCCTGTCACCATAGCGACGGACGGGGCGAGAGGGCAAAGTCTCCCTTTGGAACTACATCTCCCATCATGCATCCGCGCCCCACGGTGCCTGGCTCAGCCTCTGGTCTGAGACCTGTACCAACCCCCGGGAGCCGTGCGGGGCAGACAATGAGGAGCACAGCGCCAGGGGGCGGCCTCGCTCCCCTGGCCACCGCGGGGGTCGCGGCCTCCCATTACATAGCGTGTCTCTCGAGCCCTGGCCTGCTCTCGGCACCGCCACAACGGACCTAATATGGCCGCTGGTGCCGGGACCTGCCGGGCCCGCGGAGGGTCGGGACGAGGTCCGGGATCAGGAACTGCTCCCGGCATTCCTCGCGGGTGTATGGCGTGGGCTCCCTTCCCCCTCTCTGGGTCCCGCGAGGAGACTCTCGGGCTTTGAGGTGAGACCTGAGGTTCCGCTGGCCAGTAGTGTAGCAGGAAAGGGCAGGTCATCCCGGGTCGTGAGCCACTAGCCTCCTGGGGTGGGAGGGTGTAGAGAGGGGGGCGTTGAAAGGATACCCGCTACGCAGCCTGCTTTCTAGGGGGCTCTTTGGATTGAGGACATCAGCAGCAGTGGAAGGGATTTTACTGGAGACCTGTCACTGTCAGAACGTTAAAATACGACCGACGGGGCTTTAATGTCACCGAGGTAGAGAGAAAAGGGCAGTAGCCCTAGAGACTATTGCGACACACTGTGCCCCTCATAAGTTCTTCCAGGGAGGGGGTCTGTACTGAGTTGACGCCCCAGGAGCTGAGCATGAGGCTTTGCATCTTTGGGAACTCAGCAAACGTTTGTTCAACCAATTGCAGGTAGCATGGCCCAGGGCTTGATAGAGGTGGAGCGAAAGTTCCTTCCAGGGCCTGGCACAGAGGAACGGCTGCAGGAGTTGGGGGGCACCCTGGAGCACCGGGTCACCTTCCGAGACACCTACTATGACACCCCTGAGCTGAGCCTTATGCAGGCTGACCACTGGCTGCGACGACGAGAGGATAGTGGATGGGAGCTCAAATGTCCTGGAGCAGCAGGTGTCTTAGGACACCACACGGAGTATAAGGAACTCACAGCGGAACCTACAATTGTGGCCCAGCTCTGTAAGGTGCTGGGGGCTGACGGCCTGGGGGCTGGAGATGTGGCTGCTGTCCTGGGCCCATTGGGGCTGCAGGAAGTAGCTAGTTTTGTGACTAAGCGGAGTGCCTGGAAACTGGTACTCTTGGGAACTGATGAAGAGGAGCCACAGCTCAGGGTGGACTTGGATACAGCCGACTTTGGCTATGCTGTGGGTGAGGTAGAGGCCCTGGTGCATGAGGAGGCTGAAGTACCAGCTGCCCTAGAGAAGATCCACAGGCTCAGCAGCATGCTTGGTGAGAGAGACAGGCCCTTTTGTGCTTTTCCTGCTCCCCACTTCTCTCTTTTGGAGGCACCCACTGGACCATGTAGTGGGGGAGGGCCTCTGGATTAAAAAAATTTTTTTTTTAAATAGAGATGAGGTTTTGTCATATTGCCCAGGCTGGCCTGGAACTCCTTAAGCAATTTGCCTGCCTCAGCCTTCCAAAGTGCTGGGATTACAGGTGTGAGCCTCTGCGCCTGGCCTGGATTATTTTTGTAATGGGAATTGTTTTAGCAATTTTCTAAGTTTGCTTACAGTTCTGTGAAATCTCATTTTCTCTTTAACAGTAGCTAATTTGGATTTAGTCCTTCCATGTGTCTAATCCCAGCCAACCTGTCTCATTTAGTTCTCATACCTATAGCCAGATCTCCTTCAGTTTCATTTCTCAGTTCCCTGCTTTAACTCTTCCTTCCCCCAATCTTTTTTTTTTTCTTCTTCAGTCACTACTCCTCCACAAGGAGGAGTAAAAAGCCTTTTTACAAAAGCTGCCCTCTGGCAGGCTCAGACTCAGGATCTTCCGATCATGAGACTGATGCACTGCCCACTACACCAAGAGTCCAACCAATCTTCTGTCCTTTTGTTTTACAGTTACCTAGATCCTTTTAATTTGTCCTTTCAGCTTTTCGTAAAGGGCAATAACATTATAGTTATGTGAGACAGTGGGGCATGATTTGGTAGATTTGTTCCCAAGCATAATTCCCTTGTAGACAGTTCATTCACAATAGTGTGGAATTTTGCACCCCATGGGGCCTTACAGCCCTGCAGTGCTGTTTGAGCCCCCTCAGCAAACATACACTGAGTTCCTTGCTACGTGCCTAGCACACTGTCAGGCACTGACAACAGACACCAGCAATAGGCAATTCCATTCTCACCTTACGATGTAGAGGTGAGAACTCTATGTGAATCCCACCCCATGGCTATAGCTTCCCTCCTCTTCTTTCTATAGCTCTTGGTTTCTATTTGTACATCTCTGCATGTGCTTCATTACTAAGCTTATGAGCTTTGGCCTGGTCTAGATGGGCTTTAATCTTTTTTTTTTTTTTTCTTTGAGACAGAGCCTAGCTCTGTCCCCCAGGCTGGAGTGCAGTGGTGCGATCTCAGTTCACTGCAAGCTCCTCCTCCCTGGTTCACGCCATTCTCCTGCCTCAGCCTCCCGAGTAGCTGGGACTACACGTGCTCACCAACACGCCCGGCTAAGTTGTTGTATTTTTAGTAGAGACGGGGTTTCATCACATTAGCCAGGATGGTCTCTATCTCCTGACCTCGTGATCTGCCCGTCTCGGCCTCCCAAAGTGCTGGGATTACAGACGTCAGCCCCTGTGCCCTGTGATGGGCTTTAATCTTGATTGTGGGACAGGGTAATAACTGAAATGAGCTGATGTTGAGGTATCCTTCATCTTCTTGGTGCCTGGGTGCCTCTTCGCCATTTCTCCTTGCTGGAGGAGAGGCTCAAGTGTGGCTTCTAGTCCCACTCTTGCCTGAAGTTGCTCTTTTAGGTCCCAGTTCCACAAGCAGGCAAGGAGTGGACTAGTGTGTTATAGAAGCTGGGTGGATGACATTCAGAACCCCAGTGTGGCTTTGGAAACATCCATGGGTCCTGGCTAGGTGGCCAGGGAGCAGAGTCAAAGTGCTTGTGGCTCTGTCCATTTCTCTCCTCGTTGTCCTTTTACCTGTAGGTGTGCCTGCACAGGAGACAGCACCAGCCAAGCTGATCGTGTACCTACAGCGTTTCCGGCCTCAAGACTATCAGCGCCTGCTAGAAGTGAACAGCTCCAAGCAGAGGCCACAGGCGACTGAAGATCCTGATAACTGCCTGGGCTAGGGGTGTCACTTCCTAGAATGGGAAGGGAACGCTGGGTCTAATGGAATCCACTCCTGGCCCACTGTGCCTCTCCCCTCAGCGTCCCTTCTGACAGTGACTCCTCTCTCTCTAGTTCTGCCTGTTTCTTCCCCCTACTCTAAGCTACTCTTCCTTGAGCCCTCCCTGGCTGCTGCTTCTTCCCTCATCCGTCAGATGCAATCTGTGGGCCGCCCCTCTCCCCTGGCCGCTAAGCAGCCTCCATTGATTTCCGCTCGTGTTTATAGGATTTCCACTTAGCCGTGATCAGTAGTTAAGCACAGGAAAATCCCTTGCCACCCCCCTCCCTTGGTCGATGCCATTGATTCTGCCAGCAGCTCCTAAACCGCCTTACAGCTGAGTTAGACGATGAGGGGAGGCAGCAGGGATTTCCCTGCCTTGGGGTGTGGGAAATAGAAGCAAGTTGAGGAAATGGTTGGGAATCCCAGTTAGAACTCTAGAAATTCTAATCTGATTTTGCCACTGTGCCCAGCTCTGGCCCAGAGGGTAGAGTGCCGCCTGTAGAAGTTTGGGGCAAATTTGTTCCCTGACCTGAAGCGGGTTAGAAAGAACCAGCAGCCGCCCCATCCCCGCCCCTGTGTTGAGACAGGTTCTCAAGGTTCAGGGGAAGATGCATACCTCTTATGTAAGAATGCTTTTCCCTTGCTGTTATTCATACACATTTTCCACTTCAAATATATCCAAATATGGCTTTCCTCCCCTCTCAGGCTTTATTGGGCTTTATTTGTGGGAGAAGGGGGCTGGTCCCCAGTTTTTGCAGTGCAAAGCCAGAGTGCCACCTGCTGGTAGCCCTCAGGTGTAGGTTTCAAGCGGCTGGGGCCCGCTGGGGTTTGGGACACAGGAGAATTTCAGGCTGTGATGGAGACAGTTACTGCCACGATTCCACAGGCAAGTTGTTCACCTCAAAGATCTCCTGCACTGACTGGTGAAAGTGGTTGTAGGTGAGGCGCAGCTTTAGCCGCACAGGGGCCTAGGAATAGGAGAGCGGGGACCAGGGTTAGCACCCATGACTTCTCCTATCCCTGGGTCTTGTCTTGGGGGGACTCCTGAAGCTCACCTTGTTAGGATTGAGGATTCTGAAGAGCTGGGTGATAGGAAGGCCACCCCGAGCTGGAACTGTGTTCCCACTGGGGGCCTGCATTTGGAGCTGGAGACTCTGAGCACAGAAGTTTAACAGAGCACAGTATGGCAGTAGGTGGGGCTCAGGCAGCTCCTCTACACCCAGTGGCTCCACACCCTTTTCCTGTAACTCCCCAAGTGCTGATCTCCAGATGACTCAATCGCATCTCACACTGTCTCCCACCCACCACCTCCACTTAGTGGCCTTTTCTCCTGGAGTCCCCAGGCCACCTCTGAACCCTGATCTTTACAAACCTTGGGCACAGCAGCCTGGCAGATGAAATCGGTGACATCACCCTCTGAGGAGTTGGTGGCAGTGGCGGTGATTAACAGCAAAGCAGGGTTTTCAGGGGGTCGAATGAAAGACAGATTCAGCTGTACTCCCTCACGCTCAAACACTTTGAGATCTGGGATGGGAGCTGGAGTAGGGAGACAGAGGCAGCTCAGTGTGCAGGTTTGAGAGAACATGTTTGTTCATTCAACAAAAATTGAGTGAACGCCTACTGGCCCTGCACTACTCGAGAGGCTAGTAACAAAGTAGATATGAAGATGAGGCTGGAGCTTACTGTCTAATGGGGGAGAGAAACAATAAAAAAGGGCCGGGCATGGTGGCTCATGCCTGTAATCCCAGCACTTTGGGAGGTTGAGGTGGGTGGATCCCTGAGGTCAGGAGTTTGAGACCAGCCTGGCCAACATGGTGGAACCCTGTCTCTACTAAAAATGCAAAAAATTAGCTGAGTGTGGTGGGTTGTGCCTGTAGTTTCAGCTGCTTGGGAGGCTAAGACACAAGAATAGCTTCAACCTGGGAGGCGGAGGTTGCAGTGAGCTGAGATCGCGCCACTGCACTCCAGCCTGGGTGACAGAGCGAGACTCTGTCTCAAAAAATAAAAATAAAAATAAAATAAGCAAGATAATTACAGACCATAATAGATGCTATGAAGGAAGTAAGTCATTCTAGAATAACTGGGGAGAACTGACTTAAATAGGAGCGGTAGGGGAAGGCATCTGACATTTTAGCTGAAGCCTGGAGTGAGAATGAGCTGGTCATCTGATGTGCTCGGGAAAGAACATTCCATGTAAAAAAGAACATGAAATGCCAAGGGTGGGAGGGTGTGAGGAGCTGAGAAGGGGGCAGTGAGTGGGTAGTGGGAAAGTGGTATAAGAAGGGCTGGGAAGGAAGCAGGGCCCTGTAGGCCAGAGAAAGAAGTCTGGAACAAAGGGAAGACAGGTGACCATGACTGACTTCATCCTTTTACCTCCTGAGATGGGGATGGGATGGGGGACACACAGGAAGAAGCAGGGTCCATGAGCCTCAGCCCTTGGCTTAGGAGAAGCAGCACATTTCCACCTACCTTCTCTAAGACATCTTCCTTTTGCTTAGGCTTACCTGGGGGTGGAGGTGCACAGGGAAGGTCCAGCAGGTATACCAGGGCACCTCCAGGGGAGGGGTCCAGAGGGGGAGGATGCTGGGCATCCCCAGAAGCCCCATCCAGGAGATCTAGCAGATCCAGGAGCTGTGAGGCCTGGCGGAAGGGACAGAAGGGGCAGGGCTGGGTATGAAGCTCAGCCTGTCTTCCTACCCCAGGGTTTCCAGCCTCCTCACCTGGGGCTCTGTGGGTGTTGGGACTGCTTCTGAAAGTTGGGCTGCTGCTTTGCTTTCCTTTGCTTCCTCATCAGCCTGAGGGCCATCTCTCTCCACAAGAGGCATTTTTTCCAGGATGGCAGCCCTGAGAGGATGGAATGCAAGTGTGCCTCTGTGGTCTTTGGGCCTTTCACAAGAGGCATCTAGGATGATGACTAGGAACATGGAGCCCTGGGCACATGGTGGCTCAGAAGTTCCCTTCTGATTTCCTAAAATGACATGTTGTTGCTGATTTTCAGATGAGCAAGGAGGGTTGGAAGCCAGCTTAGCTTCAATTAACAGTGGGTGGGAAGCTCTCACCGTGGATGTGGAACACAGGTGAGGATGAGGCCCTTGTACCTACAAAAGGGCATTTGGGAGAGGGCAGGGGTTTGGGTCCCATGCTGCAGCACAGTGCTGGACACACCTCATGTGATCGTACTTCCGGAAGAGTGTGTCATACTCCACAGCCCGCTGTTGCAGCTCTACGTCCAAGCAGCTCTTGTAGATGGACACCACCTGGCGGATGCGGCTGGGCCAGTGTAGTATGTAAGTGGCAACGGCAGTGTGCCACTGCAGGATGTGGCAGGAAGGAAAGGCCCATGGAGCAGGGAAATACCCAGATTTGGCTCAAAAACAAGAACCTAAGGGCTTGGGGTTAGGGCGGGCTGGGTATATATGCCTGGAAAGAAACTCAGAAATGGGTGGGTCCAGTGAAAGGCCATCTCTCAAGGGGCTGGGACCCCTTCTTACTTATTGTCCCCTTGGAGGCGAGTGCTGAGTTTCATGAGGGCTGTGAGGGCATATCCTCGAGTGGCTGGCAGGGACATATGGGACTGCAGCACCTTTTCCAGCAATGCCAGTACTTCCTCTTCGTCCACCTTCAGACATGGATACAGTTAGTGACCCTGGTGCAAGTCCTGCCCCCCTGACGAGTCCCTCCTCAGTGTACCCCCAGTGAGGTCTCACCTGAAGGGGCTCAATCTCCTCACAGTTCCCCTCCAGCAGGAGGTCCCCATATTCCCCAATGCACCAGGCTGCCACCTGCACCAGTGGTTGCTACATGGAATAAGAAACTGCTGGGCTGGCCGGGCATGGTGGCTCACGCCTGTAATCCCAGCACATTGGGAGGCTGAGGCGGGAGGATCGCTTGAGACCAGGAGTTCAAGACCAGCCTGGGCAACATAGCGAGACCCCCGTCTCTATTAAAAAAAAAAAGAGAGAGAGAGAGAGAGAGAGAGAGAGAAACACTGCTGGGGCAGTGTCTGAGGTCCTCTCCCCACTTCCAGACATGGTAATATCCCTTTAGGCAGTACAGAGATGGTGGAGGGGGGTTGGAGGGGTGGGGAAAGGGAAGTTTGTTACCTGGCTCCCACTGCCCTCTGGTGGCCAAGCATCAGAACTACATGGCCTAACCACACAGGATGGAAATGTGAGAGGGTCCCTCCCTTGTGGAAGGTGTGGATGCTTTCTGCCCACCCTATTTAATTAACGTGGAAGAGGGGGCTGTAGATACTGCCTGGCATCTGTTAATTCATTCAGCATTCAAGGTAATAATAAAACCTCATAAACACAAGAGCTTTAATCTCAAGGCAGCTCTAAGAGGCAGTCAGGGTACGTGGAGCATAAGGGAAGTTAGTCATCTGTAGTTACATAGCCAGGAGGTACCAGAGTCAGGATAAAAGCCCAGATGTTCTTAAAAACAGGGCTCTGTGCTTGGATGTCTTCTGCACTATGTAGGTAGCTGTGATCTTGAGAGAAAAATTGGAATCTAGTATAAGGAGGAGGCCGCCCAGGATGGGCAAGGGAGTGGTTGGGCAGCCCTAGGCCTGGGTAGGTGGGAATGATACCTGGGAAATGTCTTCTGCCAGGGCATTGTAGAGGCGGCGCACAGAGTAGGCATGTAGCTCCTGGGCCCCCCCAATCAGCTGGGTCAGGTTGGCCACTGCATCATCCCGCACATGGGTACCTGCCTGGAAGGTGTGGGCATGGCCAAGTCAGTGTGGTGAATCTTGACCACTTCTGCCCAGCTCTCTGACTGGCCCCTGCCTCACCGTGGTCAGCACATGCAGGATGGTGTCTATGTGCCAGCGTTTGGTGGGAGCAAACCTAGGGGATATATGGCTCATCAGTCCTGGTACTGACCCTGCCCAGATTCTACCCTCTTCGACTCCTGGGCACCTCACCTTTCTGCAGCTAGCAGGATGCCTGAGGCACAGTCAGCCCGTAGGTCAGGCGGGCAGGACTCCAGAAAGGCCTGCAGCTCTTGCATCATGGCTCGCACATTGGAGCTATTTACCAGAGCCAGGCTTAGTTCCAGGGCCCTCCTGGCAGGAGAAAGAGGTTTCCATGCAGGTAGCCCAGGTTATCCTGGTCCATGCCTCAGCCCCTCTGCTTCCCCAGGGACCTGTCCCCCTTAGTCCTCTTACTCCAGCTGCTCTAAGCTGGCTCGAGTCTTGGCCACAAGGCACTGGGAACCTCTGCCCTGCCCTCCCGTCCCCTGTATCACTGCTCACCGGCTGAGGGAGGCATCAGTTTCCTGTAGACAATCCACCACAGTGGGCCGATGCCGCTGCACAGCACTGTGATCAGACTGCACCAGTCGAAGCAATGATGTCAGGGCTACATACCTGGTCAGGATGGGGGAGGTTCTATCACACCATGGCCATCAGCCCCCAGTTCCCATCCTGTCTTGAGTATAGGGGTAAGAGAGAAATGGATCAGGAAGCTCTGGAGGAAGGAGGGCAGAGGGCCAGGGGATCAGTGGCACAGCCTAGGTAGACAGTTGGGACTATTACCTAATGTTCCTGTCACTGTTGAGTAGGAAGCGGCCAAGAATGTTGACAGCTAGAACCTATGAGAGGCAGAAGCTGGGGTCAGCCAGGAAAGAAGCAACCTGCTCAGCCATTGAGGAGTGAGAACACATTGGCGCAACACGATGGGGCTAGGAGGAAGAAACCAGCAAGCAGGACCTGTGTGGGTGAGGTGGTGGGCGGGGCCATAGTGGGAGAGGCATAAGGGATGATACCCGTAGGCCAGCTGCAGAGCGGATATCCATGATGGTGAGTACTGTCTCAAACAGGACCGCATTCCCGGCATTTCGGCTGGTGTCTGTGTTAGTGGCCACCTGAGTGGAGGAGAGAGGAGATGTATCTGCTCAGGGCCCTCCTCAGGTCTCCGTTTCTTTTGATACAGGGTCTCACTCTGTCACCCACAGCTCACTGCAGCCTTGACCTCCCAGGCTTAGGTGATCCTCCTGCCTCAGCCTCCTGAGTGGCTAGGACTACAGGCACATGCCAACAAGCCCGGGTAATCCTCAGGTCTCTTGAAGGACTCTAACATGTCATCTGTCCAGCCTTCAACCATCCAACAAAGTTCCCTTAGCCTCTACTATGTGCCAGGGCCAGCCTGGGCACTGGGGCAATAGCACTAAGACAGACTGTGTCCCTTCTTCATGGAGTTCACTGTCTAGAGGAGACGGAGAGGCAATGATATGGCCACTGCACAGTGAGGAGTCAAGTGAGGGGCACCCAGGGCTGGTGGGGTCTCCAAGCAACACAGCTAACCAGTGCCCTCCTCCCAGCCCCGACCTGGGCCAGCAAGTCATTCATGGTCTCACTGCTCTCCTCGTGGTTCCGGCCCAGGATCCGAAGCAGACGAAGTATCTGGACCTGAGGTTGGGTTGAAAATTGAAAGGTGAAGGGGTTCACAGGATAAGGAGTCATGGAGCTGAGGAGAAAACTCTAACATGGAGGAGAGCACTGTGAGGGTCTGGCTCGCTCCCTAGATCCTCCCCACACCTCCTCACCTCCACAGGTCCCTTGGTCCTGGGAGGGGAACAGAGGTGTCTGAGGCCAGGGGAGTTTAGGACAGGCTTAAAAAAAAATTGTTACCAAACTGTATTTTCCTGACTTTTAGGCATTCTCTCTCCCCTCACAGGTCCTGGGATGACCTGAGCAATCCTGTGCCTGCTATTCTGCTGCCCAGGACACTGAGAGGGCCAGTGTTCTCTTGGAGGAGACCACTGGTCATGGTCTTACTGCTATGCCCTCTCTGTTCCAGGGATACAGCAGTGAAAGGTCACCCCACCTGCAGGAAGGGGTCGCTGACTCCAGATATGCTGTGTTCTGTGGAGTATCCCGTTGTCACCAGAGTCCGGAGGATCTGTACCAGCTGGGGTACCACCTGGAGGGAGGGCACAACTTTGGGCATTTGTTCTAATCCTCTCCAGCTAAAGCCCCATTCCTTCCCCACTGACCCTCTCTTCAGGCCCAGGGCCTGCCCCTTCACCAGCCCACCTTTCGGAAGTGCCTGAGGGCTGCAGGGCTTCGTTCGCAGAGCTCCGTGATCAGCGTGATGGTGCCCAGCAGGATGCCTGGGGTCAGGGTCGGGGAAGTGAATGGTGGGGGCCAGGGGCAAGAGAGTCTATTGCGTGTGTGCCTGTGTGTGTCCGCTACCCTTCTCCTATGAGCTGGTGTTCCCATCCAATTTTCAATTCTTCTGTCCACAGAGCTGAAGCAAAGGATGGGGAGCCCCACAGCCTTACCATGGTGACGCTCGTGAAGCAGGTGGACACAGGGTGGGAGGAAGACGCTGGAGAGTTCAGGGACCTTCCGGATCATGTGCACTGCAGTCAGAATAGCCTGCAGAGGTCCGGGGCCTCAGACAGGGGTCAGAGGGGATTGACCCCTGCATCTACTACTATATGGCACACAGCAGGCAGTATCTGCAGGAGCAAGTGCCAGGAGTCCCACCATCTCACCTTCTTGCGCACGTAGGGACTGGGCTGCAGGAGCAGTTTCTCCACCTCTGGGGCCAGGTCTCGGCACATCTCAGCAGAGCCCATGGTGCTCAAAGTGCACAAGGCCAGGCCTTGTACTGGCTGAATCCCCTGGCTCAGGTCACTGCAGGGTTTGGGAGGACGGTCAGTCAAACCTCTGAGAAAATCAGTCCTTTTCAATACCCACAACAGGCAGTCCCCTGGGATTTCCAAGGTCCCTACTCTCCCATCTCCCTGATTCCAAGTGATTGCCAGAACCCTCTCACTTCTTGATGCTGTTGGTAATGAGCAGGTGGGCATCGTGCCTCTCATCCAATAGAAGCATGGCCCCCAGGTAGCCCACCCTCTTGTCTGTGAATCTGGAGGAGGCGATCAGTTTCAGGCACTCCATCTATAGTCAAGGGGGCAAACCAGGAAGAGGCAGGGGTGAAACCACAGACACTCACATCCCTGTTCCATCTTCCTCTTTAAAACCAGATTAACCTGTGGGGCATCCTATCTCATCACTCTCCCTTCAACAAGAGGAGAAGCTTAGGAAATTCAGGCGTTAGTGGGTAGGAGGAACTAGGAGTTGAGGAGGATGGGAGAGGAAAGGAGGAGGTGCCTGCCCTAAACGAGGCTGGCCAGAGAATGAAGGGTTCAGGCCAGCTGATGACCAGTAGGGGTAGCAATGGGGAAAGAGGTTTGCAGTGCAGCCTGTGATGACTCTGAAATTGTAGAATTTTAAAAACCAGGGCATAAACAGGTGAGAGAGTCCGTGACTCTGCCCCACTAGCCTTCATCAAGCTCAGGAGGGAGGTATTCCTGGCCAGTACCTGTCCAAAGTGGGCGGGGTAGCCCAACATGTGGACGTAGAGCAGTTTGGCCAGCTGCCGGTGCCTGTGCACTGGGTCCCCATCGCGGAAGGAGGCCCGGATGTGGGCGCACTCCTTTTGGATCACCTCCCGCTCCTGGGCCTGAGTCTTGGCCCCGCGAATCTCTTCGATGAGGTCCTGAAGCTTCAGCGAAGGCGCCACCATTCTGACTGGCAGAGTCCGGGAGTGAAGAAACACTCTCTGGCCGGGCGTGCCTGGGTTTTCGGCCCAGGCGCGTCCTGTGTCAGGACCCTAAGAGCCCAGGTCCCACAGGTACCCTAAAATTGCTCCCGCATTTTACCTTTCCCGAAGTAGGTCTCCAAATTCCGCGACCACCCCACCGCCCGAGAAGCCCACTACGCATGCGTCGACACCCTACCGGCGCCCCTTCCTATTGAGCATGCGCTGGAGCCCCACCTATTTCTCCCGTTTCCTCCCCCTACCTGGTACCCCATCCCTAGCTTAGCCATTGCTTTCTTTCCACGACCCTCCGCTGTTTCTTCCGCGAGCTTCCTCCCCCGATTTCCATCTCAGGCAGCGGCAGCGACAGCCTGCCTACCCCCACGACTCCAGCCTCACCTGGCTTCTGCCTCAACTCCGCTCCTCTGCCCCCCAGCGCTTCCTGGTACGGGGCAGAGCAGGGGTTGGTGATCCGTGCGGTCCTTCCCTCTCCCCGCCTCCACCACGGGACCCCGCCCTCCTGGGCCGACTGCAGAGCCTTCCTGGATCCTCTGACCTCGAGCCTCAGGCTTTAGCGGACAGACAGCATGATAGGCCTGGAGTTCTTCAAGAGGCCTCCTCGCACATCGTCACCACCCGGAGAGCCTCAGTTTGGATTTGAAGCCATCGCACCCCAAAGGAGATGACAATCCCCCCCCTTTTTTGAACTTTTTTATTAATATATTTTTTTTTTGTTAAATTTCTTTGTATTTTTTTCCTGCAAGACTTGGTGTTGGCGGCACTGTTGTAGTTTAACTTCAATCCCAAATTCCATGAAATAGAAATCAGAAGTAAAGGTTGAGAGGGGAGGAAGGAGGGAGGCAAGCCAAGGAATAAACAGAGTTTGACTAGAAAAAAAGAGGGTATGTGTGGTGGGCATTCCCGGGCAAGGCCATTCCTTGAGGGAGGGGGTTGGCAGGCAGCTTGCCTCTGCCTCATGCAGGGGAGGGAGGAAAGATCCCCTGGGGACCCTACAGTCCCCTCTTCCTAGGGCTTCCTGCTCCCAGGGGAAAAGCTAATACCAGAGAGGGATCAACCACAACCTCAAACAGGGCTCTCCACCCACCTGTCACCCAGGTTTGACTCCCACCTCTGCCCTGCCTGGGAAGCATGTGAGATCAGCTTTCTTTGATCCCCTCCTTCTGTTGTTTTCCCATTTCACAAGATTCTGATGTGAAGGGGGAAGGGACATAACCCATTTTGAGACTACTAAACTTGTCACAGCTTCTGCTTCCTTGTGAGCTCCTGTTATCTTGTCTGGTCCTATCCCCAAGAAGTGCCTCCCCCGACCACAACTCCCAGAGTTGGGGTGTGGGGGCCTTGCTCAAGTGCCTCTAACCCTCTGCAGTAGAAATGTCTTCTTCAGGCCCCTTAGGAATTTAATCAAAGGCCACAAGTGAGTCCAGACCAACCAAATAAACTATTGTGGGGGAGACAGAAGGGTGGGAGAAGGCAGTGGCAAAGTCTGGGCGGGGTGGACTTGACTGCATTGGATATTCTCTGTTCCTTTACACGTTGCTCTTGGCATGGCATGCCACCAGAGGGGGCTGGAGGAGGGGCTGGCCGATGAGGAGAAAAAGAGGGAAATGGTAGGGAGTTATTCTACTTTTCACTTCCCTTCTCTCCCTCAGGGAAGGATGGAATTGGGCAGGAACCCAGCTCAGTGCTTGGAGGTGAGCTAATAGCCTCCAAGATTAGAGGTGGAGGATGCACCTCCTGCAGCTTTTTCACTAGGCCTCAGAGGGACAGCAGGCCCCTCAGGCTAGGGAGCCACAGCAGCGCAGCCTGTCCCTTGCCCGGCATTCAATCACTCCTTCTTCATTTTCTTCCTCCTCCTTTCCATTCAGCTTCCAGGAGTCTCCTTAGGACACCAAACCCCCACCCGCATCGAAGTTGAGGTCTAAAGAAAAGGTGGGAGGGCGTGGGGCAATGGTCTGACTTAGATTTGTGTGTCTCAGAGAAGACAGCAACTCTGAGAGAGAAAAGCCCTTCATATGTAAACAATCTAGAGAAAGAAGGGGTTGGAATGGGGAAGGGAGTGAGGAACACAGAGACAGATCCAGAAGAAATGAGATAATCTGAAAGAAGAGAGGGAAAGAGAAAGCGAGAGAAAAAAAACAAAGGAGCACAGAAAAGAAAGGAAGAAGATAAAGAAAGATAGGAAAAACAGCCAGGAAGAGGAGAAGAGAAAAAAGGCAGGTCAAAGGGGTGAAGAGGCACGCAACCAAAGCCAGAACCAGGCCAGGAAGTAGCCTCAGGTGAGGAGCTGGGAGAACAGGAACGCCAGGCTGAGGTCCAGGAGGGCCACGGCTCCCACCACCAGGGGGTTGGCAGCTCCCTAGAGAGACAGAGGGGGAAGCAGACTCAGTCCCCAAGGACAGTGCCCACCTTCCTGCCCTGGCTGAGGTGGCAGAGCTGAAGGGTCTCAGGTACCTCCCTGCAGAGCCTGGAGCAGGGGGATCGCCAACATTTGTTTTGGATTGCAAAACCCTGTCTTCTCCCAGGCAGGGCCCCACCTTTCCTCTGGCACCTTCAATACAGGGACAGCCCTTCCACCTCCTCCCTCTAGTCCCCTCCCATCAGCATATCATGTGTCCCAGGCAGGAGGTGCCTGGCCTTAGTAGCAGACATTGGCAGCAGCAGCCAGTACTGCAGCAACGCAGAGGGATGAAGGGGTGAGGATGTGGTTGCTAGGAAACAGAAGGCCTAGAGCCCAATCGGAGTAGAGGGTTCTAGGGACACTCCACCTCTCCCGGTTTTCTGCCTTCTTCCCTATTTCAACTTCTTCCCAGGAGAGGGAGGGAGAGTCAGGGTAGGGAGGGAACAATCTTTTCCTTTTTTATTTCTGGGCACCAAAGAGAGAAAGTGCGGAGGTGGGGGTGGGGGTGGAGTAGGAAACTCAGAGCTGGAAATGATATGGAAGGAGAACGGGGGAAAAATATTCTGGCTCTCCCATTGATTATTAGTTTATAACCCTGGGCAAGTTACTCTAAGTGCTCTGGGCCTCAGTTCCCCCATCTGTCAAATGAGGGAGTAGGCTTGTAGGCGTGTAAGGTTCCTTCCAGCTCGAGCACCCTCTATTTTTTTGAGGTGGGATGTGGTCCAAGACTGGCCAGGCAGAGGAAGCCGAGTGGAGATAAAAAGCCCCCTGGCGATCAGACAGGTCTGGAAAGGGTGGGAGGCAAGGCTTTGGGAGAAGAGGACACATAGCAGGGACAGAGGATCTCACCGGCTGGGCAGGCCTCTCGGTTGCAGCAGGCTCCCCGAGTTCTTCTGTCAGGCACCCAGCATCAGGACCCCTCGAGGACGAGCCCCTCAGGACCAGCATAGCGATGGGCTCAGGCTCCGTGCCTGCTGGGGCCCTCAGCAGGGGCAGGGGCTCTTCATCCTCCCCCTCCTCCTCTCGAAGACTTCCTGAACTGTCGCTGCAGCCTCCAAGGAGTGGGGAACCATCTCTGGGCCCTGGCCCTTGCATCCCAGCCTCATCCTCAGCCTCATAGCCAGCTAGTTCCTCTGCCTGTGCGCCTGGCCCCCCCCACTCCTCGGGCCAAGCTTTGGGGCTGGAGAAGGGACCCTGGTCCCCTCCAGGAGGCAGTGGGCTCCGGCAGGCAGGGGGTCGCCAGGGTTGGCGGGAGGAGGCAGGACTGCTGGGCAGTTCAGGGGATCCCTCTGAGGGAGTCAGTCCGTTCTCATACACCCCAGGGCTGTCCTCATCCAGGGGCTCCGTGTCGGAACCTTCTGAGTCCTGCCTGGGTCTGCGGCCTGGGTAGGGATAGCTGAGAATCAGAGGGGCCTAACTGGCCTTGGGCTGGAGTGGCTGCAGCTTTATTCCTGACTGGGCACTTCCCAGGACTTTGGAATTCCCAGGCTCATAGCCTGTCACTGCCAGACTCCAAACCCCCCATTAACCTATTGCATACATTCCCAAGTCCCACTCCCCAGACTACCAGGTCTGGCCCCCACCCTGTGTTCCTTGCACCCTCATTCCTTGTTTTTTCCCATCCCCGGTTCCCTTGCAGGGCTTCTCATCTGTTTCCCCACACCTGAGTCTCTCTAGCTTCCTAGGGGCCTCACTCCCCTCCCCCCAGCTCCCATGCCTCACCTGGGGCCTCTAGCATGGGCTGCAGGTCCTGGGCTATCAGTTTGGCCATTCGAGCTGCCTCCACAGCCTTCTCAGCGACACTGCTGGCTGCCACTGCCTTTAGGAGGGCGTCTGCTGCCCTGTTGGATCCAGAGACAGGGACTTAGCAGACCTTCCCCCACTTCAAATTAGCCCCTGCTCAGATGCTCCAGCCCCCTAGCCCCATCCCCTCTATATCATATCCTCCTCTCTTCTGGAGTCTTCACCCTTCCCCACACTCTGCCAGCTGCTTCCCTTCCTGGCAGGCCAGGGCAGCTCCCATTCGGTTTCCTCCCCCTGACCTGGGCTGCATTTGCCATCATCACACCCTCCTGCTCCTCTCACAACCTTCTACTGCTACGTCCTGTAGTAACACTTCTTCCAGTTGCAAGGGCCAGGACCTCCTGGAACTCTGTCATTCCATTCCTGTCCTGCCTCCCTCCCAGTGACAGTTGAGACCTCACTCTTTTAGCACATCCCCTGCAGTCCTGCTTGGTGCTTACGAGCTATACCTACCACCTTCTTTGCAGTTAGCACCTCCTCTTGTTACTAACCCCTCTCACCCCCTGGAGTCACAGGCCTCTCTGTGGGGTCCAGCGCAGGGTCCTGTACTTTGATCCTCCCTTCCAAGCAGCTTTGTCCCTGCCCCGTTCCCTTGTTCAGAGCCACTGTCTCCCTCATGTTAACAGTCTCTACCTCCCTTTCCCTTTCTACCATCTCTTTTCCTTATTATTAATCCTATCTCTACCAGTGCAGATTTCCTAGCATGAGAATTTCCTATCTTGCGTTCCTTCGGCCTCTTCTGTTATCACATTGTTCTTCACCCCGTCACTGCTACCACCCCACTGCCCCCGCTCATGCTTTTCTGAGCTCTGGAACTGGAGTAAGAGTGGGTCTCGCCTTTCAGTAATGATCCCGTCCCCTCTCCCTACTAATATGCATGCTTTCTCACCATTGCGACTACACTTCTGGCTAAACCCTTAGTCTCCCTTCCACACCCCCTCCCACTTTCCCTGCTCCTTAGGTGCAGGCAGTCTGGGAGTCTGATCAGTCTTTCCCCACTGTTGTTTCTCAGTTCTCCCTCTGATGTCAGATGCTTCATCAGTTTTCTCTTCCCTTTCACCCTCTGCTGTTAATCATAGATGCCTTGTCCTTAAATGAGTTCTGTAATTCCGAGGGTAGGACACAAAGGAGCTGAGAAAGAGTCAGTCAGATGAGCTTGCCGTGGGCTTGAATGGATCACACCCCATGACTTCCTCTGGTCACAGGCCTGTTCTCTCTGGCTTAGGAAGGCAGTCTGGTATGGGGGTGGGGAAGAGGATGGTGATATCTACTGTGCACATTCTTAGTCCATAGCCTCTTATTTATGTTCTTTGGGAGCTATGATTAGTCCCTTCTCCTTAAACCTGGTGGGTCAAAGATCTTTAGAGCCTGTTGGGAGGGATCTCAGATAACGTGGTTCTTCTGTCTTAGAGACTTTCTGACTCTATATGACTAGCCCTGTCCTGAAACTGAGCTGGTCTCAGGGTGCACAGCAGGCACATGTGCAGTCTCCTGCCTCTGGCCTTTCAGTAGGGCAAAGTCAAGGAGAAGGTGGACAGGGCTGTCAAGGGCACCTGTTGAGCCATGAGCATGAGGATCATGGTCTTGGGTTGTATTGAGTTATTTTGGTGGCCTGAAACTGGTGCACTGATGAGGCCTGTTTTTGTATATGAAGAGTATGGATGATCAAGTCCTATTCAGTAGACTTAGTCTGTGCTCAGGCCTCAGACTCATGCCAGGGTCAGGCTACCTGGCAGAGGCACCTGCTGCTGAGGCTCTGCTGTTTCCATGGCAGCTGGCAGCCAATCAGGATTGCCAGGCCTGTTGCTGGGGAGACCAACCAACCTCCTCCCACTGCCTGATCCTCTAGTTACTGAGATCAGTTTTTCCTGCACATGTCTCCACCCTATCTAGCCTAAAATGTTCCCTGGTGCTCTGCCCTCCCCCTTCCCTGGCTTAAGGCCCTGGGCTCTAACATCCAGACTCCCAGACAGATCTATAGATGCACATTCTCTGACTCAAACGTCTACTCTGCATTTGGCATGTTTATATTCTTTCTTTCTCTCTCTCTCTCTCTCTCACACACACACATACACACACACTCACTCACTGTGTCACCCATTATACAAACTCATTTAAGCATATCTGGACATATCCTGATCTCTGATCTCTGAAGAAGTCTCAAATTTAAATGAAATCCCCCACCCCTTTAAAAGAAAATCCAATATGTGAATATTCAAATATGTGAGTTGTATAAATAAGGGGTCTATGAATCTCATTACAAGTGGATTTTTGGCTTCTTTTAGATTTTTTTTTTTTTTTTTTAGACTGGCTTTCGCTCTTGTCACCCAGGCTGGAGTGCAGTGGCGTGATCTCGGCTCACTGCAACCTCTGCCTCCCAGGTTCAAGTGATTCTCCTGCCTCAGCCTCCCGAGTAGCTGGGATTACAGGCACCTGCTACCACACTGAGCTAATTTTTGTATTTTTAGTAGAGACAGGGTTTCACCATGTTGGCCAGGCTGGTCTCGAACTCCTGACCTCAGATGATCCACCTGCCTTGGCCTCCCAAAGCACTGGGATTACAGGCGTGAGCCACCGTGCCTGGCCTTCTTTCAGATCTCTGCTATCTAATTCAGTAATTACTAACCATTTGTGGCTATTAAGCATTTGACATGTGTCTAGTCTGAATGGAAATGATGTGATTTAAGTGTAAAATTTAAGGGGCAGTCCCATGCTGCACACCTTGCTGCTCACCTCGCTGCGCAGGGAGCCTTGCTTGCTGCCCAGGGAGTTGCAGATTTCAAAGACTTAGTTCAAAAAGAATTTGTAAAATATCTTAATAATTTTACACTGGTTACCAGTTGAAATGATAATATTTGGATATATTGGTTTAAATAAAAATATTATTAAAATTCATCTCACCTGCTTCTTTTTATTTTCTATTCCTTTGTTTGTATGGTTTTTTATTTTTTAGAGACAGGATCTTGCTATGTTGCCCAGGCTGGTCTTGATGGGCTCAAGTGATCCTCTTGCCTCTCAAGTAGCTGGGTCTACAGGTGTGTGCCACAATGTCTGACTTCTTTTTATTTTTTAATGTGGTTACTAGGAGATTTAAAACTACCTATTTGGCTTATATTCCTGCTAGACAGCACTGCTTTAGATAGCAAGGTTCCTGATGCAAGGAAATGTAATTTGATTTACATAAAAGTTTGATTTACAGGGAAGCCTCTTCCCTTCAAACCTCCTATCAGTTGGGTAAAAGAAGGCAGAGGGGGCAAAACTGGGAGAGACTATGTTTTCAGATGGATAAGTCAGCAGTACAAATTCCCAAAGGCCCAAGGCTGAAATGGTGTCAGGCTGGGATGTGGTTAGGAAGGGACAGTCCCTCTTCCACCCAGGGCTGATGCTCCCAGCCTGAGGCCTGAAGACTGGATCAGCTGCAAGAGGAGGAAGACTAGGGACATGTTTTGAGTTCCAAGAGATTTCTGGGCCTGCACAAAACAGGTTCCTTGCTACTCCCACACACAACAATGGATTCCATAGACACGTCTCCACACAAAAGACACCGAGACACATTTACAGTCTTACACCACCTCCCTCAAATACCCAGCTACCCACAGTTACACCCACATCCACCTGTAGCCTCGGATATAAACACTGAGAATGCCCAGGGCTACAACTGCCTGGCCTTAGGCTTGCTATTCCCCACCAAGCCCTAGGCCTTAGGCCTTGGTCCTCCCTTAGGCACACCCCCCTTCCCGGTCCCCAGCGCACCCCCTCCTCTTAGTCCAGCTTTGCCCTCTGAACTGGACGCCCACCTGGCAGCGGCGACCTCCTGGCGCTGACGGGCAGCGCTCACGGCTCGACGGGCGCCCTCGACAGCCCTGTCCACCTTCTCCTTAACTTTGCCCCGCCGAAGGGCCAGAGGCAGGAGGCTGCGGACGCGCCCTCCGTGCACCAGCCGGTTGCGCTTGTACTTGCCCTCCTCGCGGGAGCCGTCGGGGCGGGTGGTGCGTCCGTAGCCGTGCCGCCGGTTGCCCAGCCACTCGCCCTCGTAGCGCAGCCCGTTGGAGCGCTGGCTCACGCCGAAGCCGCTGCGCCGGTCTGCGCGCCACTCGCCCGCGTACACTTCTGTGGCCGAGCCCTCGATGAGGGCGGGCGGTGCTGCGGCCGGGGGCCCGCTGGCCTCCGAGCCGGGCGGTCCGGTGCTGCCCACCTCGCTGCTCACCTCGCTGCGCAGGGAGCCTCGCTTGCTGCCCAGGGAGCTGCGACGTCCGCCCGCTCGGAGGCCGCTGAGCAGCAGCGAGCGACGAAAGAATCCGCCGGTCGCCGGAGTGCGCTTTCGGGAGGACGCGCCGTCGGCGTCCCCGGGCCCGGCCAGCACGAAGCCGCCCCGGGAGCCCGAGGCGGGGCTGCCTCCCTCGTCGCCCGGCAGGGGCAGGGGTGGGGGTGGCGTCGGGGGGTCGCTGTGGCCGGAATCCAGGGAGGTGCGGCGGGGTGAGCGCAGCAGCGCCGCCTGATGGTAGGGCACACTCTGGCGCACCCCGTAGCCGTGGCGCTTCCCGGCCTGCCACTGGCCCTGGTAGGTGCCTGCGGGCGGTGGAGGGGTGGGAGAAAGAGTCAGGCCGTGCCGCTGGGCTCCTTGCACCCCAAGTCCCAAGCCCCCCTGGAAGCCCAAGCGTCAGGCGGGAGAGGTGGAGGCGGTTAGTGTGGAGGTCGGGGAAGGGCACTGGGAGCCGGGGACAGGCCAGGCTGGGCGGGAAAGTGTGGAAGAGCAGAATGAAGACGGGCAGGTAGCAGGAGCCCTACGTAGATTTTGGCAGTGCGGGTAGACAGGGGAAACGGGGAGGGCCCGGCAGGCGTGCGAAGGACAGGCCGGTGGGGGCGTTTAGATAGGCAAACAGGACTCTGAATGGCACGCAGAGAGCAGAGGTGTTGGGGACAGGCAGGTAGAGAGGGAGGTGTGAGGACAGGCAGACAGGGAAGGGGTGAGGGAGAAGCGAGCAGGAGACAGACAATTAAGGAAAGCATAATCATCGTGGGAGAAAGCAGAAATTGGGGCTGGAGGTCACATCGATGTGGGGCGGGGGACAGATGGATGGGCGCAGGTGCGCAAATGGAGGGCGAAGGCGCAAGGCTAGGGAAGGCGCACGCGGACGAGCAGACAGACACTAGTGGGCCGGGTCCCGCACCTCCGTCGGAGTAGGTCTCGGTGCCGTAGCCGTCCTGGAAACCGTCCTTCCAGAGCCCGGCGTAGCGCAGGCCGGACACGCTTTCCCACACGCCGCTGCGCCCCTTCAGCCCGCCCAGCCACTCGCCGCGGTACGTCCAGCGGCTCTTGCGCTCCACGCCCAGCCCTTCGCGCTTGCCTTGCTGCCAGTGGCCCTGGTAGCTGTGTCCACCGGGCCCCGTGAAGACGCCCAGTGACTCGAAGCCGTGTGCCCAGCAGCCGCTGTACTCGCCCTGGGCGCCGGGGCCCGTGCACACGCCGTAGCCATGTGCCCGCCCCGCCTCCCAGCCCCCCACGTAGCAGCCCCCGTCGTCAAAGTCGAACTTGCCCCCGGGGGACATGCATGTAGTTGGCGCGGCCTCAGCCCCCCGGCGGCTCAGCGCATCCTGGGGCTGGAGAGCCGGCTGGGGGCCTTGGAGCCGGGCGAGGTCTGGGGGCGGGGGCAGTTAGACCGGGGCCGGGCGGGGGGGCCCCAGCGAGGGCAGGCAGGGCCGGACCCTCATCCTGAGTGGCTGCGGAGAAAGAGGGAGGGGGGCAAGTGGCGAGAGAGGCCCCTCCTCTTTGCCCGCCGCTCCCTGGCCCGGTGGCTCGGGGCATCAGCACCGCCCCCCAATCCACCCCCCTCCTTCGGCAGCATTTTCCAGCAGCTCCCAAGCTTGGGGGGCATGTGGGCTTCCCCCATTTCTGTTTTTGTGGAGCGGGCCCCTCCCAGGACTTGGGGCCCCAACCCCAAGCAGGAGTCCCAATTCTCCAACCTAGAACCCCGAAGTGTCGAGTGTGGATGGCAGTTTGGGGGTCCTGAGAGGGGGCTGGGCAGAATCGTAGGGCACCCGTTTCCCTGGCTGCTGTCAGGACCCCTCTGTCCCGGTTCTTCGGCGTCTCTGGCAAAGGGATGGGGGTGGGGGTAGAATATGTAGCGGGGAGATCGGACCAAGGTGGGCAGACGGTTTTTCGGGGGCAATGGATGGGGCCCAGGGGAGGCTCTGCAGGGGAAAGGCCAGGGTGGGGACGGGCAGAGAGGCAGAAGGGAGGGGGCAGGCTACTCACCATGTGGGCTGGGGCTCAGGCTGCCTCCCCGGCACAGCATCCATGGCAGGATAGCTCCACTCCCACCTCGCCCGGACAAGCCAAGCCCCCTCCCCTTCCGGAGAGACTGCTCCAACCCAGAGAGGAAAGGTGGGGGAGTCCGGAGAGTCCCCTCTCTCCCCGCTGGAGGAGCAGGCTGGGTGGGGGGGGCGAGGTAGTGGCAGGGGTGGGGGAAGATGAGAATAGTGTAGGGGAAAAAATCTGCCTTGGATGGAGATAGGGAAGAAGAGCTGGGAGCTGGATGCAAAGGGGGAGGGGGCTATCAAGAGGGGGTGTTTTTATTATTTTTTTCTTCTTATGGTTGGGAGAGGAAAAATAAATCAAAATTCCGATTCCATCCCAGCACAAATCAATGTTTGCTCCATCCCAGCATCACGGGGGAGGCTGGGCCAGGCAGATTTAAAGGGGCAGGGAGAAAAGAAAAGAGAAGAGGGTGGGTAGAGGAGGATATGGTGAAGAAGAGATAGAGGCAGTGATGCGGGTGGTGGTGGGGTCCCCAAGCAGAAAAGGATGGGTGTCCGCTAACCCTTCGGTGAGGGAGGAGGCAGGCAGAGAGGAGAAGGAGATGCACTGAGACCCCCAGGGAGGAGAGAAATCCTGGCATGCGGGCTAGGAGTGGGGCGAGGCGGAGGGGAGGGAAGAGGAGCGAGGGGGAGGAGACTGAGTTGAAGATGGGGAGGCAGGGGGAGGCCGAAGCCGGGCGGGGGAGGAGAGATGCTGGCGAGGCTGAGAGAGGGTGAGAAGAATACAAAGAAAGAGGTGCAGGGGTGAGCACTAAGGAGGGGGGAGATGCAGCCTGAGAGGGAGGAAGGCGGGGAGACCCATTCGGGGGCTGGGGAGGGATGACAAGGAGGAGAGAAGCAGGGGAGGAGGGAAGAAGGGGGAAAGAAATAGATATGGAGACTGAGAGAGAGAAATAAGGCTCGTGAAGGGAGGGAGAAAGCTCTGCAGAGGGAAGGGCAGGCGTGGGTATAGAGATCCAGGCAGGAAGAGCCCAAATAGAGGCAGGAGGGCCGGAAGTGGTGTTTGTGGGGCCCTAGGGAGAAAGATGAACCTGCCAGCTGCTTGGACTGAAGCCAGAAAGCTTTGGGGCATGGATGCAGGTGTCCACTGAGTCCACTATCTTCCGGAAGAAACCACTGGAGGGGGACCAGGAGGCTCACGCTCTTGCACTTTCTGAAGAAGGCTGAAATGGGACCTTGCTAGGAACGCGGGCCCCATCGATGCTTCTCCAGGCCTCCCCATCCTCCATCCCCACCACCAATTTCTCCCTGGGTTGTCTCTCTGAAGGGGAAGAGGGTTTATTGCTTTTGAATGGGGAGGAGGGCATCACGCTTGGTGATGGCATGAAGATCCCAGGGCTTTAGAATCTTTTCTTTTGCAAACCTTGAGGCAAAGACACATAGACATGTTTGGGAGGTCCCTTATTGTGGCAAGGCCGCCTCCAGCCCACCACCCCTCTGTCCTGTCCTCTCACCAGAGGGCCAGCACATCCTGACCTTGCCATTTACAGACAGAAGTAGGCACACACTGTCTTCCCTCTCCCCTTAGTTTACTTAGACTCTGCATCTAGTTCTTTCCCTGCCTCTAAGCCTTTAGGAAGGAGGATACTGTGTCCAATTACATGCAACAGTACATAGTCAAATGCACTCAATTGCCCCTATTTTCATACACAGCTTGGTCCACCACTCCTCCTCCACTGCATCCCCATTTTACAGAGAAGAGAACTAAGGCCCAGAGGGGAAGTCATTCACCAGAGGTCATACAACAGAACTGGCAGAGCTAGGAGTAGAACACTAGACTTCAGACCATTTAAGCCTGGTTAATTCCTGCCAGGATTCCATGAACTTGGGGACCCTCCCTTAGACTCAGGGCCTCCATTTTGAGTACTTTGGTAAAATAAACAGCATGAGGTTTGGAATAAATAGGGATTTCCCTTGCATCATGTCTTTCCACAATTTATGAGGTTGGAGAAATGTAAATTTTAAGCCTCCAGGAAAGGAACCACGTCTTCTAAGTGCTTAGCATACAACAGGTCAGCTGTGGGTCCACTTGGGGCATGACTGTTGATGGAGAGTTTATTCATTTATTCATTCACTCATTCCTCTATTTATCAAGTATCTACATAGTTTACTGAGTACCACCCACATAGCCAAGTGCTAGAGACACAGTGGTGAACACTGTGGGGCCTGCCCTCATGAAGTTTACTATCTAGTAGTGAAGACAGACAACCAACAAGAAATTCTAGTGTGGTTAGTGCCACAAGTTTGTGGGGTAGGAATAGGGAATAGAGATGGAATTCACCTGAGGCTGGTGCCCTAGAGAAAGAGGCATTTAAGATGAATCCAGAAGGGAGTTCTGGGGCAGGCCAAGCTATGTTGCTCACCCCTAGATATTCAGCCTACAGTGTCAGCCTTTCCTTCTCCACACAGTGCCTTGTCCCACTCCACCCCTAAAATTCCCCTTTTCTCCAAGAGAAAGGGAAAACAAGAAAAGAAAAACCAATGTATGGTCCTGGAACACCCACGCCTTGTTTCTTAGGGAGAAGAGGTGACAGGGGTAAGTGGAAGTTGGAATGTGATGCCTTGTTGGACGCTATACTGTCTTCTGAGCTGCAAATTAAGTGTAGGGTCCAATAAAGTCCTGAAGAAATCTCTGACAGAAGTGCCCCAGAACATGTGGGATGCACAGTCCCAGCGCAGCCCCCATGTCTACCTGAGTGAGTTAGCCTTCCAGCCCCTTTCTGTTCTTTCCCTACAGGCTCTACAACTCCCTCTTTCAGAGCAGGGGCACTTTTTTTTTTTCTCCAGAGAGTGCACTGGTTTGTTTTGCCACAATTTACCAACATTCAGGTGTCAGAGAAAAGGGAAGTAACGTTCAACGGAGCGGCTCTGTGCTTGGAGCCAGGTACTGTGCTTGGCATGCCATCTGTACGACCTCATTCCATCCTCACAGCAAAACTGTCCCTGTGAGCGGTCCAGGCTGGAGGCCTGGAGCTAGGTTTCCAAAGATGGTCAGACCTATGTCTGAATCCTAACTCTATCTGCCACCTACTAGTTGGGTGAATCTGAGCATATTACCTAACTTTTCTGAGCTGCAGTTAGTTTATCTCTAAAATAGGAATATCACAATCTACTCCATGCCTTATTTTGAGGATCGAAATGATCATGTATGAAGTGTAAGTATGCATAATATGTATAAAAATATAAGGAGGGAAAGGCCGGGCGCCGTGGCTCACGCCTGTAATCCCAGCACTTTGGGAAGCTGAGGCGGGTGGATCACGAGGTCAGGAGATCGAGACCACAGTGAAACCCTGTCTCTACTGAAAATACAAAAAATTAGCTGGGCGCGGTAGCCAGTGCCTGTAGTCCGAGCTACTCCAGTGAACCCGGGAGGCGGAGCTTGCAGTGAACTGAGATCGCACCACTGCACTCCAGCCTGGGTGACAGAGCGAGACTCCGTCTCAAAAAAAAATAAAAATAAAAAAAATAAATAAATAAAAGGAGGGAAAACCACCTGGCATAGTGTCCAGCACATAGTAAATGCCCAGTAAATAATGGCTTGAAAATTAGATTGGCATTATGCCAGTTTTATAGGTGAGAACTCGGGGACCCAGCAGTTCCTTAATTTGCTTCATGTTGCCCAGCTAATATATGGCAGCCCTTGGAGCTTGATATATATCAGACTCCCAAGTTAGTATGCTTTAACAAATGCAATTTTGGGGGTCTTGTTTATAAAAGTAAAACATGCTCATTGTAGAACAGGAAAATACAGCACAATATCAAGAATAAAAATTAAAACCACCTATAGTCTCACTGTATAACAGTTTAGTATATTTTTATATAGTCTTCTATGTACTTTTAACCTAATTAATTAAATGGTGTATATACAATTTTGTATCCTACTTATTCACTTAGTTTTCATTGTAAGCATTTTTTTATTATTACACTTTAAGTTCTGGTATACATGTGCAGAATGTGCAGGTTTGTTACATAGGTATACATGTGCCATGGTGGTTTGCTGCACCCATCAACCTGTCACCTACATTAAATATTTCTCCTAATGCTATTCCTCCCCTAGTACCCCCACCCCCCGACAGGCCACAGTGTGTGATGTTCCCCTCCCTGTGTCCATGTGTTCTCCTTGTTCAACTCCCACTTATGAATGAGAACATGCAGTGTTTGGTTTTCTGTTCTTGTGATAGTTTGCTGAGAATGGTGGTTTCCAGCTTCATCTATGTCCCTGCAAAGGACATGAACTCATCTTTTTTATGGCTACATAGTATTCCACAGTGTATATGTGCCACATTTTCTTTATCCATTCTATCATTGATGGACATTTGGGTTGGTTCCAAGTCTTTGCTATTGTGAATAGTGCCACAATAAACATACGTGTGCATGTGTCTTTATAGTAGAATAATTTATAACCCTTTGGGTATATACCCAGTAATAGGATGACTGGGTCAAATGGTATTTCTGGTTCTAGATCTTTGAGGAATGGCCACACTGTTTTCCACAATGTTTGAACTAATTTACACTCCCACCAATAGTGTAAAAGCGTTCCTATTTCTCCACATCCTCTCCAGCATCTGTTGTTTCGTGACTTTTTTCTTTTTTTTTTTTTTTCTTTTTGAGACGGAGTCTCGCTGTCACCCAGGCCGGAGTGCTGTGGCGTGATGTCGGCTCACTGCAAGCTCCGTCTCCCAGGTTCACGCCATTCTCCTGCCTCAGCCTCCCGAGTAGCTGGGACTACAGGCAGCTGCCACTACGCCCGACTAATTTTTTTTTGTATTTTTAGTAGAGACAGGATTTCACTGTTTTAGCTAGGATGGCCTCGATCGCCTGACCTCATGATCAGCCTGCCTTGGCCTCCCAAAATGCTGGGATTACAGGCGTAAGCCACCGCGCCCAGCTGTTGTTTCCTGACTTTTTTTTTTTTTTTTTTTGAGACACAGTCTCGCTCTGTCGCCCAGGGTGGAGTGCAGTGGCATGATCTTGGCTCACTGCAACCTCTGCCTCCGGGGTTCAGGCAATTCTCCTGCCTCAGGCTCTCAAGTAGCTGGGACTACAGGCGCCTGCCACCATGCCCAGCTAATTTTTGTATTTTTAGTAGACACGGAGTTTCACCATATTGGCCAGGCTGGTCTTGAACTCCTGAGCTTGTGATCCGCCTGCCTTGGCCTCACAAAGTGCTGGGATTACAGGCGTGAGCCACCGTGCCCAGCTTGTTTCCTGACTTTTTTTTTTTTTTTTTTTTTTTTTTTTTGAGACTGAGTCTGGCTCTGTCGCCCAGGCTGGAGTGCAGTGGCCGGATCTCAGCTCACTGCAAGCTCCGCCTCCCGGGTTTACGCCATTCTCCTGCCTCAGCCTCCGGAGTAGCTGGGACCACAGGCGCCCGCCACCTCGCCCGGCTAGTTTTTTGTATTTTTTAGTAGAGACGGGGTTTCACCGTGTTAGCCAGGATGGTCTCGATTTCCTGACCTTGTGATCCGCCCGTCTCAGCCTCCCAAAGTGCTGGGATTACAGGCTTGAGCCACCGCGCCCGGCTTGTTTCCTGACTTTTAATGATTGCCCTTCTAATTGGCGTGAGATGGTATCTCACTGTAGTTTTGATTTGCATTTCTCTAATGACCAGTGATAATGAGCATTTTTAAATATGTTTGTTGGCTGCATAAATGTCTTTTTTTGAGAAGTGCCTACACATATAATTTTCCCACTTTTTGATGGGGTTTTTTTCCTTGTAAATTTGTTTAAGTTCTTTGTTGATTCTGGATATTAGCCCTTTGTTGGATGGATAGATTGCAAAAATTTTGTAGACTGCCTGTTCTGTAGGTTGCCTGTTCTGTAGGTTGCCTGTTCACTCTGATGATAGTTCCTTTTGCTGTGCAGAAGCTCTTTAGTTTTTTAATTAGATTCCATTTGTCAATTTTGGCTTTTGTTGCTATCGTTTTTGGTGTTTTAGACATGAAGTCTTTGCCCATGCCTATGTCC